GAAAAATCAGAACGCACTTCGTTTAAACACTCGCTTTGTAGTTAAAAACAGTTTTTTATTAAAGTTACTAAAACGTTGATACATGTGAAAAAGTTGCATGAATTTATATCGTTGTTTTATTATTTAAATTCGCTTTTGTTCTATCAAAAATATCTATTTTCTTCATGTTCCACAAGGAAAGTTTGGCGGAGGGACACATTTTTTTGATGAAATCTTGTCTGGTGATGCGGTCGGTTGTTCGGTTGAGCTCCGCCAACAACAAGGTCCGGCCATTAAGTTGTATGAACGATTCGCCCTCCGGTGGCTCAAACGTGCAACTGCATATATAAACAAGTTCTCTCCAAATGATTGTCTGCTCTGTGTGTAGTTGTATATTCGAGCCACTAGAGGGCACATGACTATAATCTCGTCATGACTATAATATCAGCTCAGTCATGTATCTGATGTCAGCCCACAGCAAAAACACAGTAAAGGGCAGAGGATCTACGTGACAGGCTGAGACCTTCAGGTCAGCACTGAGACACATGTTAACAGAAAGAGAGTGACGGTGACAAATAGACACATCGAGTGGTTCTGATCTGCTCGGTTTAAAGAAGTTATTTCCTTCTTGTGTCTATGTGACTGTTGGAAACACAGGAAAAAGAAAGGTCTCACACACACTTCCTTTGCAGATGACTTATAGGAAATTAGTTTTGTCAAACAGCACCGGTTACACTTCACCTGATTCTCCTGAGTCAGGAAAGATTTGTTTTCAAAGCATGTGGACTACACTTCCTGGAGCGTTGGTGGCCTCATAAGTACAATTACAGATGTCGCTGCATCTCTCTCCCTCCCTGCCTTTCTTCCTAGCTGTCCCTCGTTCTCGGTCTCTCCTGATAACTGTTCACACGTTTCTTCTTCACCTCACTATTATGGCACTACTTCCATATAGAGTAAAACTACTGAGTTTGGGCTGTGGAAAAATGCCATTATATTCAATGAAAAAGCAGATAAAGTTTGTCTTTGTGACGTGATAAATTAAACATATTTTTCACGGCGCTGTTGTCGGGGAAGGATAAGATTCAGTATAAATTGCTTTAAATTTGCTTTTCTCAACAGCTATCTTGCAGTGCTAATGTAAGTTGTTCGGAAATGAATTTAAAACAAAGGAATGATGACATCTGATACAGGGCTGAGTCAAAGAGTTCGAGGAGTGATGCTACAGTTTCACAATGTGTCTGACTTTAATAACTAAAACACGTTGACATTTACTTGGGTTTGGTTTTTATGTGATCAGGTTTTTCCAAATTGAGAACTTTTAAAATTAGAGCAAACTTCACATTCTAAATCGTGTTAGGTTAAGAAGAAAGGTTGTTTTTTTTTAATCAATATTGATTTTTTTTATCAATAGTATCAATAGTAACCTCTTCTCAACTGGAAAGACAGCATCCCAACCCGAACAATGCCAGTTCTCTGCATATTTGAATTAGTCTTCAATGATCTTTACACAGATGTAAAACACTCACGTCTCTGACTACGTAAACAGGATTCTCTCTTGTTCATCTGTGTCTAGGTGCCCAAACATGTGAGCATGTTGTAAAATGACAAAGCTCTCTCTCTTTCTCTCTCTCTTTTCATCTCTCCCTTGGGGATAGTCAAAACATTCTTGTCAGGTCTGGAAAGCAGGAACCTCTAAGTCAGACAGGTCACGGCCTGGTGCTAAATGAGACGTATCTGGTTCAAATGGTTGATGACTACTGAGAGAGAGAGAGAGAGAGAGAGACGGGAGAGGAGATTTCTATGCTGACATAACAATAAAAGCATCATAATGGCTTCAGACTGCTGATTCGATGTGTGATACCTTTACAGCAGACGACTGGAGCTACATATTAAATGACTTTCGCTGCTGAATGTGCACTTGTTATAATAAAGATTCATAAAGTTCATAAAGACCTGGAGAGCTTTATAAAATCCTTCAGCCTTCTTATTTTCCATTCTCACCTTCCACTGCCTCACATGCAGGGCACAGTGTAAGTTGTTTAAATGTTCTACTTTTACACCGAAGGGTACATTTTGTACCGCTGTTTCTAAAAGGCTTGCTTTGGCAGTGATTTTTTTTTTCTTTTCATTTGTCCAAAGTGTCTGGTACAAAATAAAGGTCTGTTTAAGCCGTAGAACTGATGTTCCACTCATGAACTTTACAACAGCTTGAGGAGAATATTTATTTCACCCCAGGAGAGAAATTCAGGAAATACCCCCGCTGCTTTTCTGCTCCAGGTACTGTATGCATTTGATTATGGTTTCACCGAAATGGTGGAACATTGAAATAGACTGTGAGCATTTCACCACATTTGTATAGACTGGCTGTTTGAGACATAATAGTGACTTTGACATTTAGAAGAGGTAATGTTTGGCACAGGCACACACACAGGAAGTCCCTCAGTATTGGTTAGCTAACAGTTGTGTTTAAAATAATATAAACTCAATTTAAAATATAAAATTAAAATGATTATCCACACGGTTTTATATTGTATGTATTTTACCTTAGTGTGTGTTTTTATTATTATTTTAATATTTTAATTATTTAAACTGCAGCGAAGGACTACTACTACATCTATAAACCTTCTTTTGTTCTTTTGTTTTGTGGAAATAAAACTGTTATTTCAACAGTTTTAGGTCTAATGTTGCTTAAAATACTGCCACATTCAGCACAATTGGCCAGTTAAGGACTTAAATACTACTGGACATGTTGGCAGCTGGAATTAATCCATACTCTGACATACTATGTAAATGAAGGTCACCTTTTAGGTCTGTTCAAGCCGTTGGCAGTCAAGGCTGTAGAGTGTCAGAGAGAATGATTATTCACTCTTCAAGAATTTGGAACGACCACAAAGAGGTTTTAAATTATGCGCCAAAATCAGCTAATGGCAAAAAAAAAAAAAAAAGAGGCAAAAATACTCAATGACAATGCTGAAAGTTCCAAATCCAAAACAGTGAATGATACTTGAATATTTTTGTCCTCGAGAAAAAAAAAAAGCTGGCAAAGACTCATACACACACGAAATGTCTTGAAGGCAAATAGTTGATGGTTTACTGAGTTAGTAGGAAATAAACAAGACATAACTGTGAGATCGGATGCTGCTCTTCCTTGGTTTATAATTAACATTAGTGCCGTGGTGATAAATTAATTCTCTGTTAAGTTTCTAGTAATTCTAATGTCAAAGGGAGATCCCTTGTGTTTATGTGGGATTTCTCCAAAACATAAAGAATTACTTAAGGTCAATCTTACTCTCTAAATTGACAAAGGTTTGAGTGTGAGTGTGAATTATTGTTTGTCTCCTAAGTCTCTTTGTGATGGACTAGTGAACTGTCCACGATGAACTCCGCCTTAGCCCCATCATTGCTGTTATACCCTCCAGCTCTCCCTTTATTACACCTGTGACCCTGTTAAGGATAGGAGTGAAATGATAAAACTAAAGAGCATCGCCGTTAAAGTAAGATTTTACGTCACGTTATTATACTGCCATCTGGTGTATTTTTTAAGTTTTTTTAGGTAACACGATTTCTTTTATTAAAAACCAATACATAAAGAACAAAATATTACATATGTTTGGAAATCGAAAATGTCTATTTCTGGATAAAGGTTTGTTGGTCAGTTTTCCAGTGATTTCAAGGCTCCACCTTTAACAAAATATATTATAGTACAGTATAATGAAGACCTTCTTAATTCCTCATTAGACTTGCAGATCTGAGATTTCAAGCACAGATCCATAGAATTATTGTTTATATTTTATAATAAAACAGAATGAAAATTGAATTCATTTAGAAATGTAGTTCTCATTGTGTCTATTAAAGTTTGTTTTATTTTCTTATTTAACGCTGATGTAACGCTTATTCAAATCTTGAATTTTCAGAGCAGAATACAGAATGTCAAAGATGAGTTTAGATTGTCATTTAACAACGAAACTTTAAAAAAAAAAAAAAAAAAAAAAAAATCAACTGTCCTCTAGTCATGCTCTTCCGGGGCAGCAGACGGCGCTGTCCGCAGTGTGCAGTTTCCCGGTGTTGTTTCCGGATAACAAATCCAACATGGCAGTTCACAGAATAGCATGTTTGGGCTTAAATGCCCTTTATTCCTCATTTTGTGCTCCAAAGCAGGTAATTTATTTTTAAAGCGTAATTTTTTTAGTTAAAGGTAGTTTTGCTAGTGTAGTGTGCTCACACGTGACATTTAGAAAAATACAGTCCTGTTAGTGTGTCATTTTGACGTTAGCCTCGTTGCTAACGTAACCCCGATGTCATTACAATATTGAGGATGTTATTGTACATTATATGTTATTGATGCTATTGTAGTGTTTCAAACAAGTCCTTTGCATATAATTCATTAATGTAGATTAACTTATCAGTATATTTATATATATTTATGTATGAATATGAGTATGAATATTGCTTTCTGATAAGCTATAACTATTGCATTAAATTACCATTTGCAGATCTTTATAAGTTTTTTGTGCTGCTATTTGACACTGTCTTTAACAATATTTACATTTTGCAACATTATGTGCAGGCCCTGCGGAGCTGCTGGGGGACAGTTGAACAAGTGAGAGGGTATTATGTGAACTGGAGAATGCTGAGAGATGTGAAAAGAAGGAAAATGGCTTTTGAATATGCAGATGAACGGCTACGGATCAATGCACTGAGAAAGAACACCATCTTGCCCAAAGAGCTGCAGGTACAAACACCTAATTACTGTATCACATCACTGTATCATTTTAGTCCCATCTCTAATGGCAATATAAATTCAATGTATCATTGAATGTTTGCACAAAAAAACCCCAATGAAATACTTTTACAGTTGTTTTAGGTTATTTAGAATATCAGAAATTATTTTTATTTTTTTATATATTGCAGGAGGTGGCTGACAAAGAAATTGCAGCCCTACCCAAAGACAGCTGCCATGTGAGAATACGCAACAGGTGTGTGATGACATCCAGACCCCGTGGAGTGAAACGAAGGTGGAGGCTCAGTCGGATTGTCTTTCGTCATCTAGCAGATCACAACCAAATGTCTGGGATTCTGAGGGCAAGGTGGTGATAAAGTGATCATTGGAAATCACTATCTGAGTAGAACATCGTGGGGGAAGAAATGTGTGGATGTGGTTACAAATGAATATCAGTCTTCTCTGCTAATCCGATACAGACTTTAAAGCTCTGGTGACTTTAAAGATAACGTGATAACTGTATTAAAACAACTATATTCTCAAAGGCAAAAATAAATCCAATGTAATTACTGCAGCATGCCTGCTGTGTTGTATACATTCGTTTCTCAGTCATGTTCTTGTCGTTTATTGTATGAATTCATGTTTGTCAAAATAAAGTGATCTTGTCTTTTTAGTTACTAAAGTATAATAATGTCAAACTATTTTTAAATCATGTGACATTTAAACTATGCCAAGTTGTGTTCTATATAGTAAGTTCAGTTGTATATTAGCCTAATTTATTTGTTAAAGCAGAAAATTGGTAATATGCATCATTTGTTAGTTTATAGTTTATATACAGTGTCGGAAAAACAATGAAATCTATCGATGCATTCAAAAAAATGTAAACATGGTGTCGATGAAAGGTGGTTGTTTTGTTTCAAATAAACAGTAGGTGGCGGTAGTGACTCTTCTGCCAATAATCAAGACGCAGAAGAAAAGGACCTGGCATAGGAGATAGTCGCATGAACTGAATGAGAAGTGATCGTTTCATTTTCTAAGCTAATACATCCGTACAAAGCCATAATGGACCTAACTGAACAGGTAATTATTTAACTACATTACAAAAACATCATTTACGAACTGAGGCACCACATAGCCGAGGTGAATGTATATATTATAAATATATTGTACACACTTATTCTTAGTAACTACATCTAGTTAGCATTCACCGCTAACCGGCGCAAGTGAAATATTCAAAATCGTAATTATAAGTATTACAAAATGTATTACAAAGCTAAATCACATAAAATATATAATATGGTTACTGTTCAAGATACAGTTATATGCCATTTGTGTCCTGACAGAACTAGTGAGCACACATGGTGTTTTGACTGCAGCAGACAGAACATTCTAGCAACATGATGCAAGGACGCGCCGTATGGTGACGTTATTGTGGCAACAAAAACGTTGTTATAGTGGGGAAAAACGTTCGACAAGAACACAAGTCTTAACACTAGAGTTGATGAACACAATTCATTAAAGTCACATCTAGCATTAGTTATAACGGCCGAGATAACAGTGCTAAACTCAGGACTCAGACCTTTACACACAGTGCAAAACCATATTGTTGTTTCCGGCATACCTAAGTCACCCTAATTGCGTCACGCTTCTTACAGATCAACCAGTTGGAGGCAGATTTGCAGGAGTTGGGGTCATTTTTGGAAAAGTCACAGAGGAAGAGAGGTCAGGATTTGCTTCAGCAGGGGCAGAAAAAGGTAGAGAAGGAACTTGCAGCCAAAAAACAACAAAAGGAGCAACAGGCCAAGAGACAAGCAGATGCACCCACTGCCTCCAAAGCAACTTACACAGTCAAGATTACAAATTATGGTATATTGATTTTTCATGCACTGATCTATAATTGCATTGGAAGAAATATAAATACATATTAAAGTCAATAATACATTAAAATTACATTCTGCAGCCTGGGACCAATCAGAGAAATTTGTCAAGATTTACCTCACTTTAAAGGATGTGCACAAAATCCCATCAGAAAATGTGGAGGTCAGCTTTACAGAAAGGTAAATCAATCAACATGCACACACTGTGTGTACCACATATGCTACATTGAAAACTTTTAAATTTGCTAGCTAAATAATACATGATCTGTGTCACAGGTCGTTTTCTATCTTGGTGAAAGACCTTGGTGGAAAAAATCATCAGATGACAGTTCTGAATCTATTAAATTCAATTGAAGAAAAGGACAGTTACAAGAAGGTAAGTAAAAGAGGTGACAGACAACGGGATTATAAAAAGCAAGATAATAATTGGAAACATTTAAGATTTGTAACTTTTTTTTCTCTACAACAGATAAAAACAGATATGGTCTTGATCATGTGCAAGAAGCAGACGTCACAGAAGTGGGAGTGTCTGACAAAGGTGGAGAAGCAGGCTAAAGAGAAAGAGTGAGTCTTTATTTAAAAATGTTGATGAGATTCACTGTGATAGGGCTTTATCAAAACCTGATAAAGAACAAACTGAACTTTTTAGGTTAAAAATTGACTCATCCTTTTATTTTCTACCCCAAATCAGTAAACCCAGTGTTGATGACAAGGCCGACCCCAGTGATGGTCTGATGAGTATGTTGAAGAAGATATATGATGAAGGAGATGATGAGATGAAGAGGACCATCAACAAAGCCTGGTCCGAGTCTCAGGAGAAGAAAAGCAAAGGAGAAGAAATGATGGGCCTTTAATTTTTTTTTTCCAGAACTTGTGGGATCATACAGTTAAAGTGAACATCAACATTTTGCAAGTTTCAGTCTAGAAAATAATTCTCTCAATGTTAGACATGAATAAAATAACTGACAGTGTCTCTCTCATGTTAAACTGATAAACTGTTATTTTATACATTGACATTAACATTTGTCCATGTCTTTCGACAAGTGTTGCTGAAACGGACTTAGTCAAAATATTACAGTTTGTACACTTCCATACTTAAACTATTAACAGAACCAGTGCACTGCATATGCATTAGTTTAATGTAATTCACTCAACATTAGTCCATATAAGGCCTAATCTTAGTGATTGCTTTAATTCCTGCATAATTACATTCAACAATCATTCCATTGTAAGACGATGGCATTGTGATTTCATCCTTTAAAACTTGTGAATATGTAAAAAAATGTAGTTTTTCCTCACTTGTTATATTTTTCACTACCCACGGGTTCTTGATGGAGTTTAAACAAATACAAATCATGTTTCGATCCCTCATTTTCCTGTTTTTCTTGGAATCTTGTTGACACCATTATGCACTGTAGGGTTGTAGCATTCAAACTATTGATGCGCTTGGTGCAGATGTTAATGTTCTTAAACGTCAGACTCAATTATTTGCAAATGTTGCAAAGATGCAAATATGTCTTTGCTAAGGTGTTGTGAGTTTACAGTAGTAATAAAAAAATAATTATTTTAACATCTAATTCAATTTTAAAAAAAGCCTTACATAGTCTCACGTGTTTTTTAGTCTTAGTTGTTTTAACATTTTGGTTAACTGACCTAAAATGTTGAGGCATTTTAAAGATATCTGTTCAAAACTGTGGCTTAGGACGGAATTTTACAATTAAAATTGTAAAATACAATAAATTTGCGTGTCAGTTAACTGTAGTCCTTGGTATTACAGTAGTTAGTCAGTGTTTTGTATTCTCTTACCAGGCTCCCCTGCATCAGTGCAACTGGCCTTATGCGTTTGCTTTTAGGTCCACTAGAGGGCAGCCATGTTGTTTAGTACTGCGGAATGCGGAATTGTATTTACCTCATGTAATGAGTTTTACAGTAATATTCATTATTTACTTGCAGTATAAGAACTCATCTTAGGTTTGAGCTGTCACTTCGAAATTCATCATGTCAAAAACAGAAGAACTAAGATTAAACTGTAAAAGCAAAACTGTTGATGTTCACAAAATAGAAGTTGAAAGATAGTTAGGTTTTCAAAGAAAGTGCATGAAAAGTTAGAGGTAGAAAATCAAAGATTTATAAAACTCCATATTCCGTAAAGTCTAGAGTTACTGTGAAGAGACTGTAACAGCCAAGGCCTCGTCTGTAATCTGGACATCAACAATCAATAAAGCCTGCAGCGAGACTGTGGGGCTACAGATGTAAACAAACCCACAGTTGCAAACAAGAGACGTTTAATTTGGCCACGCGAGACAAATCAAGATAGAGATTTGACTTTTGGAGAAGAAAGGGAGAGTCATATAACACAAAGAACACTATCCTCAGTATAACTATCCGAGCACGTTGTGATGAACTTGGAAGTTGAACTTGTGCAGAAAGAACCGTGAAGAAAAATAGGTATATCCACCCATGTATTATTAAATGACATTAAACTGATATGTGGGGAGTATGTTTAGAGATCCTGCGTTGTGTTCGAGTGTGTAGTATCTCTATATCCCAGTAGGTGTCATCTGGCCACACTGTGAACGTAATCAGTTGAAATGACAGAGCAGGAGTTGGCTCAGGTTCATCTCAGCAGATGAAGTCAAACTTCCAGCCCTTCCGTGACGTCGCTGCTCGCTTATAAAGCCTCAGAGCGCTGCTGGACGAGGCAGATGGAGACAGTCAGAGGCGGTGGATACGATTGCATGCATTGTTGAAGCAGAGAAACCGAATCCTGAAAGCGAAAGGGGACATTTATTCACGAACTGATATATATATATTTTTTCTTACCACCATCTGGATACCGGTTGCTTTATTGCGGCGCAGCGCATTTCTTGCCACGCAATGAACGCGGATTTGTTTAAAGCGGCTCCGGAGCGTGGAGCCCAGCATTCCTCCACCACCGGCAAAAGCAGCAGGATTAAACCCGAACAGAATAAACCGGAGCTGGCTCAGGTGGTGACGGATCCCAAGACTGGGAAGTCCTACAGTAAAGGAAAGCTTTTGGGAAAGGTAGGTATTTAAAAAAAAAAAAAAACCACATGTGACGGTTTCTTCCTCATGACACACATTTAGCTTTGGTGTTTTTTCCCACAAAATGCGACAGACCGGTGAATCGGTGTCATGAATTAGAAATTAGATGAGTCATATTTCCAGGCTGATAACGAAGCTATAGACGATTTGGGGAGAAATCCTGATGAGCTGTTTTTTCCAGGTGCGTTGTTTTGGGATGGGGGGGTGAGGGGGTGGAGGATGGAGCACCTCGTGCGTTTGCGCGTCATTGGTGAATGAATCAGACGCAAAGGTGTGCCCGAGCCAGCTCCTGATCAGCCAAAAATAAATAAATAAATGAACAAATAATAATAATAATAATAAAAAACACCCTCAAGGGCCGCTGCATTGTGGTATCGAACGCACAACCCTCCCTCTGTGCCTTCCATGCTCTCGATGTACCTGCTGTGATGTGTATTTTGGCGATGTCACACTGTATCAACGTGTTGCTCGTCATCAGAGCGGTGGCGTCGGGCGGGCGTCGAGCCAAGTCTCGTCTGTGCTGCGGCAGAGCTGGGAACGTCTCCGTGGGTTTTTACGGTTAATGAATGCAGCATCCTGCTCTGCCTCGTCCCCTCTGATCCCCCAGTCACACGAACAGTCTGCATCTGGAATATGTTTGAAAACCATTAGATTTAAGGTGGATTGTTGGTTGTAGACACCATGAAATCCTCATCACCAGGATCTGCCCCAGTCTAATGTAATGCTGATTTCCATCCAAAGCTGCTCTTCCCTCACCTGTTAAACTGAACCTTTCCCTGCACATTGAGAATTTTGCCAAGTCATGGCTGTGTCATTTTGATTTCTGTTTAATTATTGATCCTCGGTGGCAAATATAGGCTGAGACGATTGATGCAGATTCTCAACCTGCTTCTTTGACTGATCTGTGTTTATTTGCCTCCAAGGGTGGCTTTGCTCGATGCTACGAGATGACGGACATCTCCAACAACAAAATGTATGCCGTGAAGGTGATTCCACAGAGCAGGGTGTCCAAACCACACCAGAGAGAAAAGGTACATGTCTGATGTGTGTGTTTCCTCTTTTCTAACAACCTCCATGAAATGAGCTCAGAATGTGATGGAATGTCTTTGCCTTTCTCTCCGACAGATCACAAATGAGATCGAGCTGCACAAAACCCTGTCACACAAGCATGTGGTGAAATTCTCTCATCACTTTGAAGACCAAGACAATATTTACATATTCCTTGAGCTTTGCAGCAGGAAGGTAAGATCGTGTAATGTTTGTTAGCATGTGTTTTAAATGTGAACTCATCTCAGAGACGCCTGTGTCTCTTTTTTTTTTTTTGTGACTCTGCGGTGTGTAGCCTGCAGCAGCATTGTTCCCCCCCTGATAGATGTGGGGTTGATGGGTTTGCTCTTTGCTTTGTCTCTGCAGTCACTGGCACACATTTGGAAGGCCAGACACACACTCACCGAGCCAGAAGTGCGGTATTACTTGAGACAGATCATATCAGGCCTGAAGTACCTTCACAGCAAAGGCATCCTGCACCGGGATCTCAAACTAGGTATGCGATCCAACCACCAGATTAGGCAAAATATGCAGTGTGCGTAGCGAGTAACGAGCGTGCGCACACACGGGCATCCCTGGAATCCGCTGTAACTCTGGGCAGACGCATGTTATGTGTGGAATGCTGACTCTGACAAATGTTTTTTGTGTCTCTTTCAGGCAACTTCTTTGTCAACGAGAACATGGAGCTGCGCCTGGGAGACTTTGGCCTGGCTGCCAAACTGGAGACGGTGGAGCAGAGGAAAAAGTAAGGATACACTTCAATACACCACAAATGTCACTGTGACTATGACGGACGTCTGAAGTCACCACTCCTGAAGGTTAAACTTGTCTGCTGTTTTAAATGACTCTTATTATTATAATGTATAAATATAAAAGTCATAGCCATTAGTGGATTAGCATGGCGTACGCTCACCTAAAACCATTACATCAGACACTAAGCTCACTGTTAGCTCCTCCCCTCCCCACATTCTCCCCCGCCCCCTTCCCCTAAGAACCCGACTGAACCGGTTTCTGAGTTGCGGTTGAATGTAACGTTCACTGCAGTTTCAATATTTGCTAGGCAACCTCTGTGGAACACCAGAAACCAGGTCTTAGGTTGGAAGGAGAGGCTGTGATGATGATGATGATGTTGATTTCCATGTTGATAAATGTTCTGAATAGGAAATAAATGAAGTTTTAAGAATTAAAATGTCGTTTTCCATCAGAACAATTTGTGGGACTCCCAACTATTTGGCTCCTGAGGTGCTGAACAGACAGGGCCACGGGACAGAGTCGGATGTTTGGTCTCTTGGATGTGTCATGTGAGTGTTGTTGTATTTAATATTCTGTAAATCACTGAAAATGTGATAGTTAATAGTTGTTTTTTGTTTTTTTAATTTAACTAATGTCTTCTGTGGGTTTGTGTTCAACAGGTACACATTGATGTGTGGAAACCCTCCGTTTGAGACCCTGGACCTTAAAGAGACTTACAAGTGTATAAAAGAAGTCCGGTACAACCTCCCCTCCACGCTCTCCCCTGCCGCTCAGAAACTCATCTCTGCCATTCTGCAGAAAAACCCCACCGATCGCCTCTTGCTGGATCAAATCCTCAACCACGAGTTCTTCACCAAAGTACGTCAAACCCAATGCTGACAACCTGTTAAAACAACATGAAATCCTAATGTAGAAATAACAGGGGATGGGTGAGGGAGGGGAGGCAATGGGTTGACACTAACGTGACCTGTGACGTCAGTGCTTGATGCAAATTATTTTAAACCAATTAACACAATTAAGATCCCTTTCATATACAGTGTATATGTCCCTCACCTTGATGTCTTCGTTTCACCTTCTCCTCCAGGGCTACACTCCTGATAAGCTTCCTCCCAGCAGCTGCTTGACAGTGCCAGAGCTCCACCCACCCAGTCCTGCCAAGAAATTCTTTGCTAAAATGGCCAAGAGCTTCTTTGGCAAGAAGGCAAAAGGTAAAAAAAACAAAACAAAACAGTGGCAGCACAGAAATGGAATGGTTAAAACAGATGATGCTTTTCTCTATTTTTTGTTTTTTTGCAAACACTCCTTCTTACCTTACTTGACCTTTTGCAAAAACAACAATGCATGCTGGGTAATCTGGCACATCCTGTTTCAACTCATGACTGCTGTTTGGAAGTGAACTAGTAGAACAAGTGTTCAGTCTCCCTCAAGCAGTATATATATATATATATTTATTAGATGCAGTATTAGTTATGTCCATAAGGTCGACTTGTCCTTTGAGGCTCCACGAAGAATTTCCTCATTTGACTTTTGTTTTTTTTGTAGTTGAAAAGATTCCATGTGAGGACAAAGAAGACAAAGACATTTCCAAGCTGGTGTCTGGCATCGTCAAATGTTCAATCAACCGCCAGATCAGTTACAAGACAGTGGGGCCTAATGAGGTATGTATTTATTCTAAACATATTTAACAAAAAAAAAAAAAAACAGTGCAAAGAAAAAGCACTAGCACAGTAGAAAACCTGGGGAGAGAAACGTGTAATGATCTGCTTGTGTTGACGGTGCTGCGTCTGTTCAGCGGAACACTGGAACATTCTGACTTATTTGGGTCATTTTTTTTTTTCCACAGTCTGTGGAAACGATTTCTCCGTACTTGTGTTTTTTTTTTTTTCTTAACATTTTCCTGCTACAACATGATATCTTATCTCATGTATTTCCAATGGGCAGAAATAAATCCTGCACCAACAGGATGCTGAGATAGACCACACCATAATCAGATAATGTTATGCTCTGATGTTTGCTGTATTTATTTATTTATTTTCAGGAAGTACTGCTTTGTCAGCTTGGTTGACTGCTAATTTTAAAACTGTTTAGTGTGATGTCATTGAGGGCAAAACAGAAGTGTTGATGTTCACAGAGTCACTAGACTGACTGTGGCAGTGCCGGGGGCGGACGGGGGGGCTAGCAGACTTTTAGACCTTTGTTTAGACCGACAAACAATAGGAAGTCTTTGGTCATTTTCTCATGACATGAATGTGATTTTTGTTGTCATTTCTCATGGTGCTGTGCAGGTTCCTTCTCCCAACGGTCAGCTGGTCAGCTCTGTGCCTCTGGAACAGACTCCTGCAGAGGAAGAGTCCAGGAAATCCCTCTCCCGTTCTTTCAAGGGGACAATGGCCAGCAGCACCGAGCGTGAGTATCGGCGTTTATTTTTCAACGAGTATTCACACGGGACATAAACGTCCTTTCATTTTAATTCCATTGTTTTGTAATAAAACTCTGGTTGATTCCTCCACAGCCTGTGAAGATATACTCACCCCTGCGGTTGTTGCTGAATCGTCCATGAAGGTTCTCAAAAGCTGCTTGGCCGCCATGCCTGCGGGTGAGTGAGCAGATTTACATTTTTAGAATTTGAATGGGTTTGAAATTTAACTACAGATTACAAAAGGCAACAGACAAAACAACAAAAGCCAGACTGTAACACTTTGGTTCAGTCCAAGATAATAAAGAATTTAGTGTTTTTGTCTCGACTCTAAAGAATATCCACACTTATTTGTCTCATTGTCTCACAGTAAAAACTATACTACTCCTTTTCTCATAAAACATTTTGTCACCACTATCGGTGTAGATCTTCCACCAACTTGACGTGACTTTGGGAATATAAATTGTATGTCCTCATTTACTCGGGGCTTGTGCTACAAGTTTAATGGTGCATAATGCTATCAACCCTCCCCCTTCTCTTCCTTCTCTGCAGCCACCAGAAACCCACCCTGTTTGTCCAAACCACAGTCTTTCCTGTGGGTCACTAAATGGGTGGATTACTCAAACAAATATGGCTTTGGTTACCAGCTGTCCAACAAAAGCATTGGTGTGCTCTTCAATGAGGGAACACATCTCAGTTTGTGTGACCAACGCAAGTACGTACTTTTATTTATTTTTTTTTTTTCTGCACGGATTTTGTTGACTTAACCTGCATAATCATTCTATAACCACTGCCTTTATTGTTTTGTTTTTTTTAATAATTCTGAAACTATTCTTTGCCTCCATCAGGACAGTCCACTACTGCCTAAACAACAACAAACACTTCAGCTTTGCTGCCAACTCTCTACCTGAGCAGCTCCGCAGCCAGAAACAGATTGTGGAGCTAATGGCTAACTACATGGAAGAAAACCTCATGGAGGTATGTTGAAGAAGTAATTACCCGCTCTAATATATTTTTAATATATTTTGGAGGAGTATTCAAACTTGATTTTGTGACTCAAACTAAATCCTGTCCTCAGGGTGGAGATCTGAACTGTGAAGACCACATCTCGTCCACTGCTCCCCCTCTCCTGCTCCAGTGGGTGAAAACTGACCATGCTCTCGTGATGCTCTTCAACAACGGCACTCTACAGGTTTGGAACCGCTCCATTCAAACCACTCTTGCACATTTATTTTGTGCTATTAGTTGTTTTACTCACCGATTTTTTTTTTTCTTTCTTCTTTTTAATTCCAGGTGAACTTTTACACGGACCACACCAAGGTCATCCTGTGCAAGGCGTCCGATGACTCCTACCTGCTCACGTACATCACGAGGGAGCGCATCTCCTACACGTACCTCCTCAGCATGCTGACAGAGCTGGGCTGCACCCCGGAGCTACGACACCGGCTCCGATATGTGGTGCAGCTGCTCCAACACCATGTAAATGCCTGAGAGCGCACGGCTCTGAACCTCGCGACCTGCCTCAGCAGCTGACGCCTTGATGGCGCTGTGACTGACAGACACTTTTTCTTGCAAAAGCAGACTGATGGGGGCACCCTGACTGCTTGATGTCAGTTCTCAAGGCAATTTGTTTTTTATTTGTCTTGTCTGGTGTGTTTAAGCTGCTGATTATTAAAGCGATTGACCTTGGTGAACATCAAGTAGTCAGAGAGTCGCCCACTGCAGCATCTGCCTCAAGGGTTTGTGCCTGTACAGCTTTTGCCTCAAAGGGTATCACCTGGAAGGTATTGATGCCTACAACAAGAGACTCTTAAATGGCCTGGAATAATGGATTCCTGACAAAAAATACAACAGTCAAAATCACCTTCCTCACTTGGTACCACTGCTTCACCACCCAGCCCTGCAACGTTCAGCCACCCAGACGGCAGATAAACCCAGGAAGGGTTTCTCAAAAACGCTAAACATTTCCCTGAATTGCCTGAAATGTCACATTGACCATCTTGCAGTTAAAATACTTTCCAATCGTGTTTTAACAACAAGGTCGTCTTTGCCAATGATGGCGTTGGATCTGGTTTATTTATTTTATTTTATTTTTATAGCAGAGATTAAGTGTGGTTTGATTTGCAGGGAAGAAATCCTCCTACCTTCTGGTTTCTGGCCTCTGTGGACCATGGTGCACACTCTAAAGTACTGCCTCCATTTTTTTTTTTAAATTATAATTCTATTGGATCACGCTGTGATCGTCAATCACAATTCGTCACAATTAACATTCCTGGCCGGCTTTGGTGAAGGTGATGCCTGGAAGGTCATTACTTCTTCTCCAGCATCACTTTTGTCTAATGCTTAGGTATTTATTTAGACAAATGTCACTGATGTGGTGAACAGTAAAACAAAAAGGGCATTGGGAGCAACACATGTTTGCACTTTTTTTGTTGTTGTTGTTGTGAAATCATCTGGAGAGCAAAATATTTTTTTTTAGTACCACTTTATATTTTATTTGTTTTTAATCTGATGCCAAAGGTGTTTTCTTTGTTGGTTTTTAAATTGAATTTTAAAGTCACGTACAGTAGGTGAACCCGTGTGTGCACCACGTGACGGTCGGAATTAGGAGGATGGAGGCTGGAGGATTAAAGTGCCTTTTTGAGGGATGTCTGTTTAGTGCAATAACAACCCTTTGTGAATGTCAAAGCTGGATACAAAAAGACTTAAATGAGTTTTACAGGTGAGATTTACTTTGGTTCTTCCTGTCAAGTTCCAAAGCAAATCCATCAGCACTACACTCACCACCTGGTATAAGCTTTTAGAACTGTTAGAGTTACAGTATATTTATCCCAGTAATATCTACTATGGAAATGGAAAAACATTGTACTTCACTGTATTGTAATCCTTCTCGGTTTACATTGCTTTCTCGACCCAGAGTTGTATCCTAAATACTGTGACGTGGAATGCAAGTATTAAGTACGTGTTTTTTGGAGTAAAAAAAAAACCCAACATTGTGAAAGCCATCTGCCAATTTAGAAAGAGTTTATTTTTTGGCACATAATGTCAGTGTTTATTTATTTTTTTATTTATACATGTTTTTTTATTTATTCTGTAAATATCATGGTCTTGACACAAGAAATTCAGATCACCTTTTGTATTTAATGTGTTTGAGGGAAAATGGGACAAAAATAAAGTTTATTGAAAATGAAGTGAGGCGCTTTGGCCCAGAGGCAATGTCTCTGTCATTGGTGTGGAACCCCAGGGTTCACCTCCTGGGCAAGTTCGAATCCCGGTTAGGGCGGTTGGTACCTTCCAGTGGACTCACCACCCACAGGAAGGTTTGGTACGGTGCAATGTGATTTGGGTGGCGACTGCTGCCCCCGCGACCCGGTAACGGATAAGCGGATGAAAATGGATGGATGGATGGATGGAAAATGAAGTGGATTTGTTACGAGGCTGTTTTTGTATTTGGATGGCTGATGTAGTGAGCAGTGATGGCGAAATAGGAAAAACAAGAGTTGCTTCACTGCCATAAGTCAGATTTGTAGGTTTTATTATATTGTTGAAAGGAAGACTTGGCTTCAGTTGTGGTTTTAGACAAACCTGGACAAACGGACTTACATGAGAGTCTTACTTGTAACTTACTTTTCTAAAGTCCAAGTATATTTTAAGAAACTTTAAGGACTTGTCAAAATAAACTACATTCAGAAATAAACCATTGTTGATGCTCACGTAAGTACAATTTCACAGAGATCCACATTGTTGATCAGAAGACAGAGAAACACTATTATGGTTCATTTAAAAATACCCTCTCAGCGCTTCTGTCACCAGGGCCCTGCACAGAAATGGTCTCTACCTGGGTTTTTTTTTTTTAAATATGTGGAGAAACCTTCTAGCCAGGCTTAGAACAACATGGAGCTGATCTATAGATCTATACTGGAAGCATATCATTAAGTCAGAAGGATAAAAGACACAGTATAATGTTCGGATGGCGCCTAAGTGCATTCTCATAAAAGTGAAATGACCGAGATGAAGATATGATGCCATAGGGGAGTCAGATGATCCACTGTGATGACATCAAAAGAATGTGTTTTTCAAAACAAATGCTGAAGCAGTGAGCTGTAAAACCAGATCGTTTTCATAGCTCTGTATTTCAACATGACAGCAACACATGACCTTTTGGGGAAGGCCCGACTGAAGTAACTCATGACAAAACGCCCTAAATAGCTGTTGCCTAGGGTTCCCAAAGTTGGTGGCGTGTTCCTATTGCAGTGCTATGGCAAAGCCAATATATTTACATTTTAAAAATGTTTAAAAATTATTTCCACTGTTAATGGAGAATAGCAGTGTAGAAAGTGGTAAGGGGGCTCTGCTGAAAAAGTTTAGAAAACACTCATGTATATGTTGATTTACTCAAACCCTATAATAATTTGGAATAACTAGAAGAACAGCTACTGTTTATGTACCTTATACGAGCAGGGACTTGGATCCAGCTGAAGGTGCAGCTTAGGCGAGAGTCAAACTGCAAAAACTTGTATAGCATGGTGTATTGTCTACAGGAGACTAGTGACATTCTCACTTTATGGTTCCGTGAATACTTCTCATACCTTCAAGTACCTTCAAAGAATCTGGCTGTAAATTCCTGCTCACGTTTACGACTGCTTTAGTGGTGGATTAGAAAACAGCCACCATCTGAAAAGTGTTTGAAAAGCCTGACAACAAGGCCACAGGAAGAGCTGGAAAGACTGAATGTTGGCTCAGAGTCTGTGACTTGTACTAACGAACATGAACAAAAACTCTATCGCAGTATTCACTTGACATCATATTCGGGGGAGAATCAAGAGGGAGGAGAACGGAGCGTCAGCCAGAATCTGGGACAGCGTCGAGACATAAGGCAGCTCTGCTGGGCCTCCGAGGACAGAATGTGCTGATGCCCCATCTTTAATTGCAGTGTGAGATTTTCTCTTTACCCTCTTCAGTCGATACCTCAGAAGTGTAATTAGAATGTACGCTGTCAACAGAGAGAGAGAGAGATGATTTAGTTCATTTTTGAACCAGAATTGGAGGGACACCAGAAATAATAATATGATACGGATGATCCTTCGGATCACCTTATAATACTGTGAAGTCAGGACACGCCTTCAACTGTAACTGAACACCAAAAAATGTGACCATGTCTGAAACAATCTTGAAATCACACATGCTGGTGTGATGATAGTCAGAGCACCAAGTTGATACAGATTCAGTTTTAATCAGATTTTTTTTTTTTTAATTTGTACTGAGATGATAGAGTCGTCCCTCCTGCCTGTGTTCATCAGTGTCATCACAATCACCTGTGTCTGGTGAGCCTTGGTTCATTAGTCTCATTAGTGTCACCTGGTGTCCAGGTGACATGCTCTATTTTGTCCCTGTGTGTGTCTTTTGTTCCTTGAAGTGAATGAGTTTGAGTTTAGACTTTTGTTAATATACTGTTTGTCTAGTGCTGCATTTTGGGTCGTGGTTTTCCTGGTCCAAGGTCTCTGCTCTTCTCTACCTGTATCTTTACTCTCACTGTCCACAGTCACAGAACGCCATGAGTGGATTAGTTCATGTCCATCTTCATTAGCCAGAGAAGAGGCAGAATAATGTGAGCCGACTGGTTGTGACCAGCATTTCAGAAAGTATTACCGTCATAAGTTGGCCAACAGTGTGTGTGGGTTACTGTGAACCTTCGTACCATGTTCAAGCAGGCAGAAGATGTGAAGATATTGATCTGTAGTTTTTCTATTGTGAACCTGCATTACGAAAACATGTGCTCCAACATGTACTACTGCAGTAACAAAAACACCCCAACAAAGTTTGCGTCCAACAGACACTACAATTGCTTTTGAAAAAAGAAAAAAATATGTTGAAATTATGAAAATATCTATTGCACAAAACTGCACATTATATTTAAATATATTTGAGAAATATATTAAAAAACTAATTTGGAAGAAGACACAACCAATGGTGAAAAGGATGAGATAAAAATCAGGTGATACTGTTGGTTTGAACCTTAGACTTTCACATGTCCAGACATGTCTGAATTTGGAGGCAACGGTGGTAACATCTGTGTACAACAGTCTGCTTACACATACTTCAATCAGTATTACTTACGTACACGTTGAGGCTCATTGAAAACGCCCCAAAAAGCTCAGTATTTTCTCAACAATGGAGCAACAAAAGGAGTCTTCAGGTGGAGACAGTGTTCAGTGCAAATATAACACATTAAACAATTAAATCTCATTGTAGTTTGAAGATTCATGTCACTACTTCTCTGATTCACTGAACATGGGGGAGGAAATGTCTGGATGAGGTTCCTCTGGTGCTTTTAATGGGAAACAGGGGGAGAATTGTAAAAGGAAACATACATTTCCTGTAAGGCTGGGCTCTGACGTACATCATAGTTGGATGGACCACTCCTTGTAGCCTTAGAAGGCAGACATGTGACATCAGCAGCAGGATCCAGCATAAAGGGTATTTGGCTGCCCACAGAGGCACACACTGACACACCACAGACGGACTCACATGTGGCCCAGAGGTCAGAGAAAGCAGGAACAGAACAAACTGAAGAACCTCCCTGCCTGGAATCCTTCCCTGTGCCACCCACACTCTGTTTATTCAAACAAAACTTTCAATGGCATTTTTCATGAGCAGGCCTGAGAGGGGACATAATCACTTCAAGCATTTTTCATACAACTGTTCTTTGTAACAAGTCAGTGTGGCCCACAGTGTGGCCCAACCCCCATTCACCCAACAAAGACAACATTTAGTTTTTTAGAACTGATTTGCTCCATGTGAGAGAAACACTGTGGAGTTAAGGAGGAAGTTAAAACATCAACTCAGGGAGAGAATAAAAAAAACTCTTTGTTTTATATAAAGATCGCGTATTGAATTAACATGAACATCGTCTGCAAACAGAACAGGTAATATTTATATATGTTTTTTAAAATGTGCTGTTGGGGTCAAATGTGTCAAAAAAGACCCCCCCCCCCACCCCTGCTTTTCTCCTTGAATGACGATCCCACCACAGGAAGTGGTGTTCTGTGGTGTGGGCGGATGACCTCATATATGCTAAAATGTGTTCAGTCTAGAGTCTAAACGTCGTAAGATGTGTTAACGTGACGTGAAGGACAGATCGGAAAAAGTAAAATTGTTGTATTAATGAAATGAGAAATTGAGAAGAAGGCTGTCTCTAGGTTTTCTTTGCTCATTTAGACCAGTGTTTCCCAAGCGTTTTTTCTGGGGACCCATTTTAAAAGTCACAAACCTCCGCGACCTAAGTCATTAGACATTATTCGTAAAGTCCTGAGAAACATGATGTGAGACGACCCAAAAAAAAAAAAAACCCTCTTGCGACCCCAGTCTTTGGGAAACAATATGAATACATGTAGGGTTTTGTTTTTTGTTCTTATTGACTGGTGGGTGAGTCCATTTTTATCAGATTGGTATTGACATCACTTTGATGTTTTGATGTGTTGCAACAGGATCAGCTTTGTCAGCATCTCGTGGTTTTTATTGTCAAGACCTTCCATTCAGGAACTGTTCAAATTTTCATAGTTTTTTTCCCCCCCGCTGCAGTAGACCGGCTCTTCCCACGTGTATTTGGTACGTGGTTCAGAGTTTAAACATTTTCTCGTGTCTCTTGCCTATTGTAGTTTTCTTCTGGTTCTTTGGTGTTTCAGCTGTGCTCGTTATTCAGCCCTGCTAATGACCAGACGCGGCATCTCCCACTGTTACACCTTAACATGAAACGGCACTAAAAACCAAAGTCAGCGGATCAGGAAGTCAAACATCTGGAGGGACAAAGATGAGAGAAGAGGAGGAATTTGGCCACACAACTTCTGCTGTGGGACAATTTCACCTAATGATTAACTTCTGTTCTTCTCAAGAGCTTTCTCTCCAACCCCTTTACTCTCCGCCTGTGTCTGTGTGTGTGTGTGAGTGTGTGTGTGGCCATTGTAATGCGTTTTCCTTATTTGAAACCGACCCAAGGCCACAAGCTAAGGCCTGTGCTGGTGTGTGTAGGCAGGCTTTCATTTTCTGAGCTAACACTCGTTTCCCACAGCTGTGTGTGAGCCTGCTGCATCCTACTGCATTGTTCCAGTGTGCACGCTCACTTCCCAAAGTAATCTGTTTCCCATTTTTTGACGTTTATAGCTTTCCGATCCGCCACCTTAACAAATGACGT